AGTTATTTCACAACATGTTTGAAAGTGAAAAGGAATTATGTACTAAAGTCTTTGACAAATTCAAGAAATTATTTAAAAATACAACAATATTATAGACTATATGAACTATAGCCTCTGAATAGAAAACTGTAAAACACTAAGTAAAATTAAAAACTAGACCTCTGTTACATACGAAATATAAACCACTGATTGCAACAGAAACATACATCAAGATAATGCAAAATAGATAATAGTCAAAGCTATTATGCTGTTATGTTGTTAAGGTTGACATTACAACCCTGATATATATTTAAAAACCATCAGAAGTAACTAATCCCATTCATAGACCGCAGATGAAGCAGCAGGAGCAATTCGGGGTTAAGTGTCTTGCCCACGGACACATCGGACATGTTGCTATAGGAGCTGGGGATCGAACCCTCTGTTGAGAGACAAAGACTCTTCCAACTGAGCCACAGCCGCCCCATTTGGCAAAAGTACTTATGTACAGGTGTCCCTGTTGTGAAAAAAAACATCTGAAAAGTGTTTTTCCTAGCGATGAATCGCTGGGAAAAGGAGGATAAAGAACGGCCGTAACTCTCAGCAAGAACATATTGAGGTCAAGTCTCTATGTAATGGACCTTCACCCAGAGGAATCCAGCAAATGACAGCTGAGCTTCTGAGTGGCTGTTTCTTTCAACCTAAGCAGGCCACTCACTCTTGCTTCTCGTCTCTCTCCACATTTTTCTACACGCCTGTCAGGATGATCAAAACACAGTCCGGTAGGTAAACACATGGAGCTTTGGAGTGAGGTGGTGCTGACTCTGCGATTGTTTGAGGCAGTGTTGTATTTTCCTTTCAACATGCATTAGAAAAAAAAGAGAGAGAGGGTGCCAAGCAGGAGAGGGCTCACAACTTGGTTGCAAACATTTTACTCATGGAGCTTACATGACCTTAATGACATTTAAATTGAATAGAAATAACTATTGATTCAACCAACTCTGTTTCCTAAAACAGGATGATTTTGAAAACACTGAAAGCTCATATCTTACTGAAAATGGCAAAAATACAACACATGTTCAAACTGATGACTTTATTCCTGGAAAATGATATGTTCATTCTGAAATTGATGCCAGCAAAACATCTGAAAACAGCTTGGACAGGGTGATTTTTAATCTCAATGAGACTTTTTCCTGGTTCAATAAAAAAAAAATCAGAAATCAGTCCATTTGAAATGAGCCTAGACCCAGAGAAGGTGTCAGTGTTTCTGGATATGGTTATATACAGTTTCCTCTTTGCATGGCAGAGTTTCAGCTAGCATTTGTAAAACCAGCATTAAACTGTTTTCACTGACAATGGTGTTTGAAAGTGTTCATGAGCCCAGGCAGTGATGCCCACTGCCCACTGTAGGGTCGTCTGAGGGGCAGAAGATCATGGCCCCCCCAATATTGTTCTTTGGCCTTGTCCCTCTGCGTACAGAGATTTCTTCAGATTCTCTGAATATTTTAATGATATTGTGAGAAAGCCTCCGTAAAGTGAACGGGTGAAGAGTTATCGAGCTCAGACTTCGTGATTGGAAACAGCCACACAGTAAAAGGTTGTAGGCCGCACAACTCACCACAACACTTGCATGTTTTTATTTGCAGCCATTTAATAGAATAGCACAGGCGATTTGTTTAATTTCGCATTTGTTTATTAGAACTTTTGATTTAAGAACACACAGTGGATTTATTTAGTCATTGTTGGTTTACCAAGGAAAGTATATTAATGAATTTCTCTTTTCTTTTGAGTTACCTGGATGACGTGCTCTCCTTCCTGGTTTGGACAAAGGGTGAGTCTGAGGGTGGAGTTTGGCTTTGTGGTAGAGGGCCATACCAAGTGCTCGGACAGCATGGGGGGGGATCTGGGTTCCTATGGTGTTAACTTTTAGTTATTTTGTATGTAGTCCTCCCCTGTGTGTTGGGTTTGGTTTGGTCAGCCAGCTTAAATAGCCCCTCAGTTGTCGCTCTGTAAGGTGTGTTAGTTGAGTTTGTGTCCTGTTCAGTTAGCACACATCTTCAGTAGAGTTATGTTATTTTGACCTCTTTTAACAAATCATCTACTTGAATATTTTGATTCAGTTACTTTTTGCTTTTGTTAAAAATCATTTTTGAATAAAGAAACATGTTTTTTTTTAACTTTTAACCTGCGTTCTCTTGCCTTGACTGCTTGGTCCATGACAGACTTTATAAAGCTCAAGGTCTCCATGCAGCAGAGCAGCAACAGGAGCAGCCTGGACAGAAGAGTATGTTTCAGCTACATGTGTATTCTTTCTTTCCTTTCTTCAGAACCACACACACATACACACACAGTTATGTAGATAGATACTCGCTCACAACTACAGGAAACAACGAATGCCTGCATCAAACGAGCCTATGTATGTCTGCCTATCTGTCACAGAATTAAAAACCCCTGAGCTGTGAATCCAGCCCTTTGTCACCAATGTACCAGCTCTTGTAACATGTTGTTTGCATCAAATTTAATTAGTCATATCATTTTCCAAAAACAATACAATTACTGTTTCAACAATTGACATGTTGCCACTGTGCTACTTCCTGTTGTTATGTACATGTACACAGTGTCCGCACTTTTTGGATATGGGGTTGTAAAAGAGACAGATGGGTGACATCTTTAGATATTTGATAGGAAACAGGAAAAAGAGTAAACATAAATCAATGTTAGTGTGTGTATCATTTTTTTCTATCTAAAATGAGGAACACATTACATGAATGCCTTTGCCAGTCATCAAATGAGGGAATTGTTTATTGTCTTGTGTGAATGAGTTATAAAGTTATAACATTTGTCAACTGTTTTTCTGCTCTGTAATTTCTGCTCTTTGAAACCGTATTTCATTTGTATATTGTTTCTAGAATAGGACTTGTGTATCTTAAAGGTATTTCTTGGTTATGACTTTTAATTTAAGTGATCTGAAACACCTTTAAATTTGAAATTTTGTTTTATCCAGAAAAAAAGGAAAACGTATAGCAAATAAGTCAATTTGTACAATTGTATTTTTGGGGTCTGTATATGATGATTCAGCACCTACCTAGATTATTTTCTCCTCACGTACACCTTTATATCTGTTCATTAATATGGCATGTCAGTCTGAAGTCATTTTAACCACTAGGGGGAGCATCAATCAGTTCCACTGACAATACATGAGTGTACATGAATGAATAATATGTTCATGACTAATATTAATGCAAAGCTAATTATAGCGCCTTTATCATAAATCTCTAACTGAATGATTAAGCGACCTGTAGGACTCTCATGGGGTTTCATGAACAACTTAAAGGTTCATCACAGATCTAACCACAAGCTAATCTTGTGTATAAATAAGTAATGCATATTGATTTTTATTTGATGTGTTTCCTTTTAATGTAATATTTACCTTACTGCTTTAAAAATATTGGGATGTGTATAGGTGTTGTTTTATATTCTATAATGTATTTTCTCCCTTTCTTTTTTGTTTCATACTTCCATCGTCATAAATGATAGGATAAGAGGAACTTCAATACCCCCTTTAAAGAGACGTGGACAGGGTCCGAGACCTCACTGGTAGGAAACTTCCACTGGATATAACTACTCCAATGAGAGCACTCAATGAGTTAGAAATGAGAACTTAGTATTTTAGTTAATAAGTTAGAGATTATAGACAGATAGATAGATACATTGTTACCCACCCTGTTCCCGATATAAAGATTAAATTCATGCAGACTGTCTTCATTCACTAGATTCCACACACAGACACACTCACAGGGAAAAAAAATAAAAAGCTTCCGCCTCCTGAAGGTGGGAGGTGTCACATGGCAGCTTCAGCCAATCAGGAGTAAGTGCGCATTGCGATCCTGTGCAGAAGGATTGTTTTATTAAAGGGTTGGTAGTGATCAATGAGCGAGTGGAGCTATCCGCTGTGCTGAAAGTTAGCACATGATGGAGTGACTTTAAGCACCGCGGACAGCTCCGTCTCCATGATTCATTATAAAAATAGAAAAACTGAGCGTTTATGCAGCATGTCATACATTTTTTAAACTTAGAAGTCATACATTCTGACTTTGCTTGGATTCCTTATTTTGTATTGCGAGATGTTCAGGTGAAGGTGAGGGAAACAGAGACAACTTCGTGACTCCAAGCAACAGAAGCAAAGAAATCAAGTGTGCATCCCTGACTTAAATCCCTCCACAAATACAAAGCATAACTTCAATGTAGCCCAACAGCCCAAAGACTAAATTTGTTGCTGCTTCGACGCCAGGACGTGTGGATGATTGGGTTTCAGCCCATGCTTTATGCCTTCACTGCTGCTCAATCTCGGCCAGTAATTCCTCAGGGTGATATAAGTCTTCTACTCCATTAATAACGCAGCTACCAGCGGTCACATCAATCTGTGGCTGCAGACACGAGCCTACGGACATATAGGTGCTTACAGGCCTCGCGCATTCACGTGGTCAGCCGCTGAATGAGCTGAATGGAAGCAGCAGCAGCAGCAGCTTGTAAATCGGCGGTGACAGCGAGCTATGTGTGTTTCCTATGAAGTCAATAAATGGGCAATCAGTCAAAAATTTATGAATAAGATCTGGAAGGTGGGGTGTTCTGTGTAAAAAAAAAATTAGATCAGTGAGAAGGAGTGTATCTCACAGTGCAGGGGTGTATCGATAAAGTGACATTTAACATGAGTTAAAAGGAGAAATAACTTATTTTATATGGGTTTTATGTATACTTTTGAAACTCTCTTTTCTGGCTGCAGTTTCATAAATAAGTCTTATAAGCTCAGCTAAAGTCTTTGTAAAGGTAAAAGTGCAATAGGAATTCGAACACTTAAAAAAAAGTGAGAATTATGCTTAGTTTCTTGTTGATCCCAATGAATTAAGGCTGGACTTCAAAGCCCCCTAGTTGCAACCTTTTCATGACGTCGAGCCAGTTGTTTTGGTCCCCTCTGCCCAATCGGAGGCTCCGCTCACATTCTACCGGAGCCGAAATGGGTCTATTCATGCCGCGGCTCCGTCCTCCCGTAAGTACCACAACGCCCTTTGTCGGGGGGCTCTGTGGTACCCGACTGCTGCTTTAAACAGCAGCACTGACATGGAAAGCCCATTGCAGCTGCACAACGATTTCTTCCCAGAGCAGCAGCAGCAGCAGCAGCAGCTCCAGCACTGTAAGTACCAGCACTACTGCGGGCGCGAGGATCGGCTCGGCAAGCAGCAGCAGCAGCAGCAGCAGTACGAGCACTGCTGCACCTGCAATAACTGCACCTGTGAGGCGAGGAAAAGCCTCGTCTTTCGTGGGACGTCGCCGACCACTGTGGGAACTTTAAGGACACCTTCGGAAACGTCTTCGAGGCAAGGCTGCCAGTACAGCGTTTGTGAGTTCACACCCTCTAGTCATGGTAGTTCATCCAGGAATCATCATCATCCTCACCATCAGCAGCAGTGCCGCGGTCGGCAGCGGGGCAGCCTGGGCAGCAGCCACAAAGACAGTAACTCCTACAATGAAATAGCCATGAGCAGCTGCAGATACAACGGCGGCGTAATGCGGCCGCTGAGCAACTTGAGCTCGTCCCGCAGAAATATACACGAGTTTGATTCTGAGTCCCAGCCTTTGCAGCCAATCTCCGCCGCAGATGCGTCGGACACTTTAGTATCAAAGCCGGAGAACAATTCAACCACCCTGATGCCTTACGCATCGGGGGACGTAGGGGGAGGCTGCGGCCACAGCGGCGGCAAATCGGGGAAAAAGAAGAACCAGAACATTGGGGAAAAGCTCGGGCACAGGAGGGCCTTGTTTGAGAAGAGGAAACGGCTCAGCGACTATGCTTTAATCTTTGGGATGTTTGGGATCGTTGTTATGGTTATAGAGACTGAACTCTCGTGGGGAGCCTATGGAAAGGTGCGTATCTTCTTTAAACCCATGCTGCCAGGAGTTGCTTTAGTAGCAAGAAATCACTTGAAATAGACAAAACTTCTGCTAAAAAAAAAAAAAAAAGTGTATAAGCAAAGAAGAAGTTGTGGCACCCTGCAAGGTGTCCCATGTAGTCACATTGTCACATGCAGGCCAAAAGGCCCACTGCTGTCCAGCCATGAAGGGGAACCACTCAAACAAGAAGATAGTACATGACAGTTTGTTAGCTTAAATATAACTCACAAATATTCTATCTTGATTTTGCTACATGTGTTTCAATTGCTTCTTTTTTTGTGAGAATGTGTTTTTTTGCCATGCTGTTGTGTGTTGCTGGGCTTTAGTGTTGTTGCTCTTTTCCAGGAGTCCCTGTATTCATTAGCTCTAAAATGCCTGATAAGCCTTTCTACAATCATTCTCCTGGGGCTGATTATCATATACCATGCGAGAGAGATACAGGTAATGTACAAACTCCTTTGTTACTCTTTAACTGTTGGTGCTCAGCAGTCTGATCTTCATCTCACTCTCTCCTCACATGTAAAATACGTACATTCATCTCTACATGTTTAGATGCTGGACGATGTCCTAAAACATTTGGTGTCAATTAATATTCACAACATTTACAGAAGTCAAAGAAAAGAGTTTGTTTTATTTCAGCTTTCAACAGAAAGTGTAATTTACGACTAATTTTAACTTCCAGCATAAATAGTTTTGGAACTTCTTTATCTTTCAATTATCTTTTCCAAATCTTTACACACTTGTAGTTTCAGAAAGGACCGTAGAGGCTATTAGATGTCATAATTGGACTGCTCCACATCTGTTTAACCCCACATTAACAGTTCATCACATTCTGATTCAATTTAGTTACTCCTCGCAATGTTCAGTGGGTGAATATAGATCGTAAGGCTCCCCTGAGACGTTCCAACACTCGGACAGTTTTATGACCTTGCCTCAGAGCATTGTTACATTACCTTTCAGTTCTTTCTGCTCTTCAGCACTTGTGTTTTTGTGGAGCAGACACTGAATTAATGGTCTCTACTGAATGCGATGCATGTGGCCAGAAAGCTTCATGCATCAGATGCCTTCTTTTCCTTTTTTTTTAAAAATGAAATCAACTTAAAAGGAAAACTTTGATGTAAAGAAGCCTGAGCAAGCAGTAAAATGTGGAATGACAGCATGTTTAATCATGGTAATGGATTTCGTTTTAAACAAAATGCTGATTTTTTTTAAGATGCCTTCAGCTAAATTGTGTGAGCTGATCCTTTAATTCTCAGGTTTTTTTTAAATCAAAATGTAAAAAAATGCTGTGTTACAAAAGGACCTATATAACATTTGACAAAACCTTATACGTTATGCATTAGCTACAGCATTTCCATCAGCCTTGTTGGTATTTTTAGTGCTCCCAGGTCTCAGGGGAGTATCAGTCATTGAAATAGCCCGACAATAAAATGTGTCGCCCCCTTCAGATGTCTCATTGTAAACCTTTCTTTATGAGGGATGCTAGAAATGCACACACATCATTACATATTTCAACGCATAACACAAGTGTTTTCATTTCCCCTGCAGACACGTCCCAGGTAGCTGTTTGTATATTGCAAGTTTGCATGAGAGTATCACATTCATCCTTCCCCTCGCTCGGCCTCCTCGCCTCCTCTTCTAATCCTGTGTGAATTATTTAATTCATAAACAGAGACTTTTTAACCCCCTGTTTGTCTAAACTTTTTCCTTCATGCTAAATAATAAAGCGATTTAGTTGTGACTAATGTGCTTTGCGGAGGTGCATTTTTCATCACAGCAGGTTTCTACTTACAGAGTCTTGTAACAGATTGAGTAATTTTGGTAATCAAGCCAAAGATTTATGTATACAGTCCTTGTTTGCAATAAAACCCCTTTAATGCTTAAGCACTGAATTGTACCAAATACTTTCAATGACTGTTTTTCTAATATTATGTGATATAGCAGCACATCTGTGTTGCTGAATATGGTGATGATGGCACTTTCCAAGAGCCTGAATCCATTACTTTAAACATGAAAAACAACTGCGAGGCAATATTCTTTCATTCATTACAGTCAAACTGAAGTATTTTTAATTTAAGCTCCAAAACAAGCTTTTCCTTTCATTCCTTTAATTGTCAGTAGCTGCACATTTACCAAACAGGAGGGCTGTTTCAAACCTCTTTGATCCAAACTCCTCTGACAGTCATGTCGATACCCAAAACATTTTTCACCTTGGATAGCTCTCACTACACAATAAAGACATTTCCTCTTTTGCTGACCTAGAAAACTTTGTTAAGGCAATTGTTTTCCTCAAAGTTGATTACTGCGATGCACTTTTTCGCCACATAGTCCGTTGTCACACTGATTTATATAAAGTTTATTCAAAGCCTGAAGCCTTTAAATGAATAAGAAACACCGCGTCACTGCAGTCTTACTCACCGCCTGCTACTTTGTGCGAGTTGATTTTGAGGTCTGTTTGCTAATTCATCAAGTCCCCTTTGGAACAAACTATCAGCAGCTTCCTGTAAAGTGACTCTGTCTGACTATTTAAATGCAGTTCCTAGTGTTTATACTTCAACTTCCACCGCACCAGCTGCTCCTTTCCTTCCCCGCCTGAGGGGCTTTTGTGCCTGTCGTTGCTAGTCTGTCATTACTGGGTTCCTGCAGACTGACATATGTGCTTGCACTCATACATTCACACACTCACACACTCACACATGTAGACAAATTAATTCTACATCTATCAAGCTAATGACACCACATGTACACACAAAGGCTCTGTATGTGTGTGTTTCATTTTCCTCTCTCTCTGCTGCTTTTGTCATTTGTGTCTACTAATGATGTTATTTGGTTATTTTTGTTGTACATTTAAAGACACCATTCTCAACATTTCCATATTCTTTAAATAGAATAATCCCAGATGTATTTTTTATACGTCGCCTACATTAACCATACTGCAACACCTCTAGTTTGGACAGAGATCAGACAGTGTTGTGCTTTCAGAGGCTAATGTAGCCTCCAGCTGCTAGCTTCTAGCAGAGATGAGCAGCAGGCTTTAGAGGACTGGAAAGCTTGCCTCTCGCTAAAGACACATTTACAGATTCTGAAAAAAAAGTGTTGTCCCCTGCTCAAACTGGTGCTGACTCATGTGACGTCACCTGAGGCAGTTTATATGTCATAGCTCTGCTCTCTCTGGAGCCACAAGAAGGTCCGTAGAATGTTTTTCAAATATAATGTAGCTCTTCCTTAAAACTTTAACAGATTTCATCCTGTTAAATAGGTGGTGCTTATGATTATAATCGGCACTCTGGTAGCAAATTTCAGTTAATTTCTCTGAACTCATTCAACTGTTTGCTTTAGGTTGTGCTGCTCTTGTAATAAATATACCTTGAAAAGTTTTTCTTCTGCTGTCTGATGAAGTATTTGACCGTCCCTTCCTGGTTTGTACCCCAACTTAATATTTTTTATGGTTGTACATTTTAGACCGTAGTGTTCTGTAATTGGTAAAGTGCTATTTGTGCGAAAGTGCACTTTTCCATGTGTAAAAAAAAAAAGACTCCTGCAGAGAAATAGATTAAGCATTCACATCCATGTGTACTCACAGAGGCCTGTCAGATGTAGAGCATAAGTCAGGATGATGAAATATTTTCCAACCACTTCTCGCCCCTTAAAACTGATTTACTTGTCAGACTCGGTAAGGACTTTGCCCTCTCGTTTTTATTGGATGTAACAACAGAAACTTTTGACAACTGAAACTCCAAAGGTCAGGTCAGACAGGATGGATGTTGGACACCAGCTGTCATTGAGTGTTTAGGGATACATCTGCTGTGATGTTTGACCTACTGAGCCAAGTGCATTAACAGCAAGAGACATGTACTTCTGAATGTCCTCCGATTTGTCCCAACAAACCTCCAATTAAGAGGAACACTTTTAATGTCTAATCCTCCTTTGGATATATAGCATGATGCTGTTTCACTTTATAGTTCTCCTTGAAGTGTTATCGGCCTGATTCAGTCCCAATGATGTCTTTTGTTGACAGCTGGCTGTATGCCCGAGTAATTTTTAGACTTTTTAGTTGGGTTGAGCTTGCTGTGTTGGCAGGAAGCTACTTACCGTACAGTACAAAAGGAAAAAGAGAGGTTAGAGTGTGTAGCTGCTTCATGACTTTGATTTGTCATTGTCAAAGACAAGCTGCAACATCTTTCTGTTCTCACTACTCAAGATGGTTGATGAGTTCACCTTTTTCCAAAACAGACAGAAACTGACATTTATTTGAAAAGTTTTCTCTTTCTCTCACATCAAAGGCTTGTTGCCGAGGGGCATTTGTGTTCAGGCCATTGCTGTGTCGTACCTTGTGATGACAGTTCTGCTGAGTTTTCTTTAACTAATACAAAATGCTTTGGGGGGGGCCTTCCTGTCTTTGATGTGTACTTTTTTGTGATAAAAGTCTGCACTGATGTGTCACAGTCACGCAGTGTTAAATTTTTTAATCTACAGAAAAGATAAAATAACAACACATCGGCCAAACTAAGCCAGCGAAATCCTGCCAAAGTCAAAGTTGGCCCGCGCTTGTCAGGCCGCCCCTGGGTGGTGCGTATGCTTCAGAGATATGGTGTAACTGCAGGAGACACTCTGCATTTCTCACAGTGAAATCTGCCCTCTACCTGAGACTCCAGACGAGAGTCAGATAACCAGTGCTGGCTGGTGACCTCGATGTTTTCACTGAACGTAGATACTTTCAAGGGCAGAGGCAGCCAGCCTCCCAAAGAGCTGTGAATCCTAAAAATGATTTATTCATGGTTTCAGTCAATTGTGCTCTGCATGTTACTTTAAACATGCAGATGGTTAGAGACTGTATTCTGTGCAACTTGGCTCCAGCAGCAACACTTAAAGAAAGAAACATTTATACAAGCTTTTACTTTAGTGGAGAGAGGATTTACTTTGCTTGAACAGTAGAATTAAAATGCAAATGTGAGACTTAATTTCAAAAACAAAAGCAAACTGAAACTGCAATGGCTTCAGATTTACTCAGCAAAGTGGCCTCTTAGTGGCTCGCTTTGATATCATAAATAAAGCATTGCATTAATGTCTAATTGGGCTAAACCTCTCAACCTAATTCACTAATGAGATCGAGCGATTTAATTCTCACTGACAAGATATATGTTCCCATCTCCACATTACACAGATTAAATATTGAGCTGGACTCCATTAGTTATATTGAACATAGTGAAACCAGTAACCAACCCAGCTTGCACCACAGGTGAGCCCCTCTGGGACTAATGCAGGACAGGGAATGATCAAAGGACTGTGCTGTTATCTCTAAACCTGACGTGAATGAAATTCCCCATAATGAAATTGTGGGTTCAGTCTTTGTGTTTGGAAAGCCCATTGAAAAACAAGCTGAATGTCTTGAGAGAGGCCAGGCTGGATTTGTTCTCATTTTGATGGTCATCTTATATTTT